ATGCACAGCCTCAGCCTCCTTGGGCTCCCTCATCACATGCTCCTTGTTCATTAATGAAATCATTGAGTGCGGCGCCATTCCTGTTGAAATGAGCGTTATATACAGCGAGCCCATCCAACAGATCATCAGCACCTTATTGTGCTTGTTAATCAGACACCAGAAACTCAATCCAAAATGACTTCTGATATCTGGCGACCGGTTGCAGATGGGATCTTTCAGAGACTAGTACTCACAAACCACAATTTCACTGGTTTAACAATTTGGTGTTAAGAAACTTGCACTGCAACCATCCAAACATCTCTATGGCAGCTATGTTCATGTCGTGGAATTTCGACCACCTCTTTTCCTAAAACAGTGTTAAATGGAGGTAAAGATTAAAAATATTTGTTATAGGGAGTCTGAGGTTTTGAAGATGAGAACCTAAGACAAACTGAGGGACAGTGTGCATTGGCGGTGGTGGGAAATGGGTGGGGAGAGAGGTAGGGGTTATGTACACTGGATATATTAGTGTTTTCTCATTAATAATAATAATAATAATAATAATAATCCTTGCATTTGATATAGCGCTTTTCACGTCAGGAGGACGTCCCAAAGCGCTTCACAGAACACACTGTAAAGTGAATTGACTGTATATTTGTGGGCGAACGCGGCAGCCAATTGCGCACAGCAATGTCCCACAAACAGTCGTAGATTGAAAATGACCAATTTAATTATTGTTTTTGGTCATATTATTGTCATTAGTCATATGTCAGAGAGGTATCACTTTTGCACCAGTAATTTTGACTCCAAAAATAACATTCACATTTTGACATTGTGGCAGAAACAGCAACAAACCTGATATTCCAGGTTTCATTCTCCTGAGAACTGCAGTCACATACCAGTCTGAGTGATGTGCTCCTGTAACTAAGTAATACAGCAAATGCTACTTGTCAAGGTCAATTATCAACTAAGTCTGTTGAAAAGTGAACCATTAGATAAGTACTGTGTCACCCACTCCTTAAAGCTTCACACACAGAAATTGTAAGTTTTCGGATAAAATGGACAGACAGTAGTAATTCAATCTTTGTTATGAACCGGGTATATTCTACAGGAAGGAATATACATACTGTATATCAATTCCTTTTCCAGTTGATTTGAGCGATGTCCAAATTCTGTACGTTTCGGTATTTAAATTGCAGCATTCACCTATCGGGGGTCAATCGTTCAAAGTTATTCGGAGCAGTCAGTATGATAAGTTTGAGGAGTACTGTAATAGAATTCTGGTATTGAAGTTAGTAAATAAGTCAGTCTAAGACTTTTCGTTTTTGGTCAGCCAGGTGTCTGACACATATGGAAATCCATCAACAACAACAACAACAAGATTCCATTTATAGAGCGCCTTTCACGTCGGGAGGACGTCCCAAGGCGCTTAAGCATCACCATGCTTAAGAGTATCCAAACCAAGCTGAGATTTCCATCCATCCCACCTACACATGGAAATCCCAGAAATAGATTGATGAACACTGAATTGCTAAGAATATGTAAGGTAATGTCAGATACCCTAAAGAAAAAGACTGGAGAGATGACATGACCAGAAGTGGCCAGAGACTTGACGTAACACCTGTACCACCCTGCTTAAACACACCAGTTCATCAGGTATCTATCATCTTGATCAGGGAGGTCCTATATTTGTAACTAAGTATAGCATCATAATCTAATATTTCAATGGTTAACATTAATAACCAGGTTTTATCATACCGTCGCATAAGATGATCCATTGAGATGTTGAGACCTTAACTATGTGTAGCTGTAAATAACCCACATTCCAGTGAGATATTGATTTGCTTTTGTCTCGTCCTCAAAACTTGTGTAAAATGTGAGATTAGAGTTTAAGAGTTAAAATGATATATTCTCTGCACATTTTCAATTAACTGTACCTGGGACTCATTTTTTAAAACCTCTTTATATAATTGATCTAGGAGCACATCATTTTATTCACAGCTAGATTAGATGGATCATTCCTATAACATGTAGAGATATTGTAGGTACGTCTGTCAGCCTGTGGCTCAGTGGTCGCATTCTCAACTCTGAGTCAGATGGTTGTGAGTTCAAGCCTCACATTGGAACTCCACAGCTGTTTGTGGGACATTGCTATGCGCAAACCTGCCGTTACGTTTTTCCACAAAATACACAGTCAATCCACTTTACAGTATATCCTACGAAGAGCTTTGAGGCATCTCAACGATGTGGTAAGGTGCCATATCAAATGCAAGGATTATCATTAAGTCGTTATTATTATCTCAAGCGCCCTGGGATGTTACCCTGCGTGAGGGGCGCTATATAAATGCAAGTTGTTTTTGTTATTATTATTAAGGATTCTTTAATCACTAATTCCTTCTAACTATTGGTATTGTATCAGTCGTTTCTCCTTATAGTGTTTGTAATTCCTATCTGAGATGTTCGCATTACATGAAATGTACTATTTGAGTGCAGTTGTTTTTGTTCCTCCGGCTCCGGTCTGCTCCACGTCCCCCGCCCCAATCGCCCTACCATCGGTGGTCGGGCCTTCAGCCTCTCAGCCCCGAGGCTCTGGAACTCTATCCCCCAGTGCCTTCGCCGCTTCCTCCCTCTCCTCCTTCAAGGCCGGTCTCAAAACCTTTCTCTTTGACCGTGCCTTCAGCTCCCCTCTCGACTCTCTACCCCCTCCTCGCTCCCTCCCTCCCTCCCCTCACCCTGACCATTTCCCCCCTCCTCGCTCCCTCCCTTCCCTCCCCTCACCCTGACCATTTCCCCCCTCCTCGCTCCCTCCCTTCCCTCCCCTCACCCTGACCATTTCCCCCTCCTCGCTCCCTCCCTTCCCTCCCCTCACCCTGACCATTTCCCCCCCTCCTCCCTCCCTCCCCCCTCACCCTGACCATTTCCCCCTCCTCGCTCCCCCTTCCCTCCCCTCACCCTGACCATTTCCCCCTCCTCGCTCCCTCCCCCCCCTCACCCTGACCATTCCCCCCTCCTCCTCCCTTCCCTTCCCTCACCCTGACCATTTCCCCCCTCCTCGCTCCCTCCCTTCCCTCCCCTCCCCTCACCCTGACCATTTCCCCCTCCTTGCTCCCTCCCATCCCTCCCCTCACCCTGACCATTTCCCCCCTCCTCGCTCCCTCCCTTCCCTTCCCTCACCCTGACCATTTCCCCCCTGCTCGGGTCATGACCCAACTGTGCAGCGCTTTGGGACGTCCTCCTGACGTGAAAGGCGCTTTATAAATGGAATCTTGTTGTTGTTGTTGTTTGTTGCTGGAACTTGCAGTGTTGTAAATTCTCAGAAGTTCCACAGAAAGTGATATCCTTTCCCCATTCTTTAGGCTGATTTTGTTAAAGAAAGTTCCAGAACATGTGAAAAAAAAGACTCGTAAGTTTGCCATATGTTGCAAATTAAAGAAATAAAAGATGTCAGCATCTGTACAGCATCCAGCTTCCATTTTTATTTATAGCCTGCTAAAAATATTACATTATAATGTACACAAGTGAGTAAATGACCCGGTATCCCACTGTATAAATTAAATTTACCTTTCTACCAGTCACATGATCAATATCATGCATTTGCTTATGTTATGATGGCTTGCACTATCAGATGTCATTCCATGGGGTGTGAGGCAGTTCTGAATACCAGTAAGGCACCCAGGTTTACAATGTTCACAAACACAAATACTTTGTTTATACAGAACATGCTTTTTAATGGGCACTCTTTGCTAAAGGGAATGTGTATTAGAAGAGAAGATTTGTTCAGGCACCAGATTCACACCTCACAGTTCTACAAAGGTTCCTTAATTTGGTTCAAAGGAAGATTTTGCTGATCAATTTAGAAAATAATTATATTTACATATCAGAAACATTTCAGAGAAAGTTGCAGCCTGTAGCTCAAATCTCTGAGTTCAGATTTCCTCTATAAACTTCTACATTTGAGGTACTCAATGACACAGTGGCTCAGCACACTGCCTTTTCATCCTTTGTGCCTTGCTTTGAATTTAGTGTAGGCTGAAGGGATAAAAAGCTTCTCATTTTTATGGTTTTGAGTTCCAAATGAAATTAGTTTGGATTTAACCAGCTCCCGGTGAGCTCAAACCTATAGCACAAGACTGCCCTTGTTTGGCACGAATTCCATGAAATTGGCAATTACACTCTGAGAAGACACAAAAGTAGGAAATGGAATTGTTAGGTTGGTGCAGAAGGAGGTGTTCATCTGAGTTTGGGGTTAAGGCACATTATTGTTGAAACAGTATAGTGGGACCTTTACCCTGCATCTAACTCATGCTGTATCTGACTTGAGAACAGGAATGTTTGAGGCTGACTTTGGATGTACCTTAGTACCATATGACACAATAGGAGGCCAATTGGCCAACTATTTCACGTTGGTGTTTGGTCCTCCAAGAAGCCATCCATCCTGATTCCAATTACCAAATTAATAAATGCTAATTCTATCCTAATCCCCAATCTTAAATTCATCAAATTAAGTAAAACATAGATAAATAGATAAACCACTTAAGAGTCACTCTTGCAGATTATAAGCATAAATCTTAACATAAAAGAATGTCTTGCAACTGCCTCTGAATTATATGTATAATATGCAGATACAATTTTTATATGAGAATGGGAATGTTTTAAGAGTGTTTTCTTTGGGCTTTGGAAGATTTGCCGAAAACAATGTAATTTTTAAATAAGGTTTGTTGGTGGTGTTTTGTTTTCTTCTAAAAAATATTAACTGCAGTAAAAGTATGCCATAGAAAAAACACTGCCTCTTTAAATCATGTGCATAAAATATTAAACTATAAACAACTATCAAATAAAATGTTTTAATGTCTTAAAAATATATATATTACAGTAGCAATCAAATGAGCACAATATCAAAAGTGCATGCATTTTATAAAAGTACTTTTTTAAATATATTACATTTATTTATCCTTGTATACTTGCTTGGTCTTACAGCAGCACACATGTAGGAGTAAACTGAAATGTAATTCATTGGCTGTTTATTAGATTGTGAGGAATGTATTTTCATACTGAAGTCACCCTCATTACGACTTCAGCAGAACTGTTGTCCTCATACTCCTCATCGTGTGGTCTGAAGCGAGTGAATAAATGCAATAAAGTATAGCTGCAGTGAAATCCTTCAGATATTAACCGAGGAGAAGTAACTGTGTTTCTTGTTCTGAATCGGTTCAGAGATGCCCAAAAGGTCTGATTGGCTGAGGTTTCTGCATTGCTGCTGTGCCCTTCCACATCTTTCGCTTTGTCATAATTCAGCACCATCCAGTGCAGATTAACAGCCCTCCAGCGCTTAAACACTCGATAGATTGCTGCTCCTTCATGAACAATTAGGCCTGTTGAAAAGCATAACATTAAAAACGAATTCAATTAATGTACACTTATATCTTCATTATATCCAGTAAAGCAATTCTCTCTTAACAAATATTCACCAAGAACAACAAATGGGATTTTTCTTGATGATTGGGGATGTCTAATTGATGTTTCATTTACACAAGTGTTCATTATATCCTATTAAAATACCTATCAAATACCCCTATTGCAATTATACAACCTTAGTCACTCTGAGCTCATTTTCAAACTACAGTATTTGTGATCACGTAAATGCAGTTGAAAGCACATTGACACTACATACAAGATGTAGCAAATTTGCACTGATGATTTTCAGTAGTAATTATACCATTTATGTTTGAGAACCACCAAAGCATTTTCAAACTCATTGTTTGTTTGTTTTGGATGGGCGTTTGGGGGGGGGCGAGGTTGGGAGTTAAGAGCATGCTCTCCCAGTATCCCCATACCCTCCCCCTATATATCTTGGCCCTACATCCCTATGTCATATTTGTTGACTGTTGGGAGCGGTACCTTTATGACCTGATGGCAACAGGCTATATGATTTTCCTCTGCACAGGGATACATTTATGATACCCAAAGCTGTTTCCTTGCTTCATGTGATTGAATCAAGAATAAGGGAAGCGAAGGGCTGAATCTGCTTCCTCCTCTGTGGCACAAACTATTTGTGTACATCAGCACACCTCTCATCTGCCTAATGTTTCCAAAGTATGATTCTAACTGATGCAAATAAATATTTGTCATATATCTCAGCAACTATAGTCACAACTTAATCAATATATTCTAAGTAGTTTTTCAGCCTAATCATTCATAGATCTTGCCAATATGATTATATAATGATTATATAATTTGAGACATTTCATATTGTTAATATCCATATAGTTGGTGACTTTCCAAATGGCCACGTCGACTTGAGCAAATGAAGCTCAAGGTGGAATCATAATCAATCTTGAAAACAATATTGCTTGGTAAAATAATTAATCTCTAGAAAATAATAGGCACATAATGGAGTATGGAATTGCAATACCTTGCCTCTATCAATAGAATATTGAATAGAATTAGGGGAAAAAATCATTTTAATTGTAATAGAATTAGGGGAAAAAAATTAAGCCTCATTTTGTTGAAAAAAATACTGAATTCTGTAGATCTTTTGTTTGACATAAAACAGCATCATGTTACTGACATCTTTTATTTTGGTCAGCCGGGTGTCTGTCACATGCGGAAACCCATCACCACACTTAAGCGTATCCAAACCAGACTGAGAGTTCCACCTACGTAAGTCACTCTCACATGGAAATTTCTCTATGTCTGGAATGGAATGTGCACTCTTCTCCAGGAAGGACGCAACCTGCTTACCTAATTCCGGAGAATATTAGGTACAGGTTAGCAAGAGCCAAGGCTTGGGGACCACAGAGTGTGCATTGGAGTACTCCTGCTATTTAACCAGTTACAAGTACGTAGCTTGCCATTGAAAGCACTGTCTGGCAAGCTTGCCCAGTCAGAACCACCATACCAACTAGAGCTTTGCTTGCAGAGTTAGAGTTTCTGAGTCAAACAATCCCCAGTCCCAGAGACTGGTCTGCCCCTCCAAGTCCTGCTGATGAGCAAGTCTGGCCGGTCTGTGGAGTCTGGAGTATTGCAGACCCACCTAGCTCCTGAACCAGCTGATGAGACTGTAACAGAGGGTTGACTCGATTCTGATACACTGTTGCCAAGCATGTCACCTCAGAGCCAACTCAGCTCCAATGGGGCCACACTCACTCTCCACCTCCCCCCCACTGGAGGATAATGATTTTTCATCCAACAAGCTCCAGTTTAAGCCCTCACTATGTGGATGACAGGTGACAGGGAATCCCTGCGAGGTTCCTGGTGATCAGCACAGCTCAGCGTGAAATATGTGAGAACATTACTATCGACTTCCTGCCCACAGCTCAAACACACATCCCTTCCCACTGAGAATTGGTTCTACCAATTGGAGGTGGAGAGCTTGAGCAGCAACTACATACTTCTCTGCATACTTCTCATACTTCTTTACATTGTCGTGTACCAAGACAGCTTGTGACATGGTAGCCACCTTTATGTTCTCGATGTCCAAGTCCAATGCCGTGTACTAGGTTCGCTCAGCACTAGCTGCTTATTGTAGGTCCTTGTGTGAAGGCCTTTGGCACATTGACATGCCCATCATGAAGTTAACTCTATCTCCATGGAGCTCAGCAACAAATGAGTGTAGGTCAGAGTCATCCCTCCCTGCAGCTGTTTACCACAAATCCACCTCACTGTTTGATCCTGAACTTCGCAAATTGGTCAAAAGAAACCCCTCGCTGCATCCCCATGAGCTTGGAACCACAAAGAAGAACTGTTTGGACACAGATCTTGTACCCCACAAGCTTAACATGCATTGGTACCTTGCTGTCCTTGAAGAAAAACGAGAATGACTAAAGTGCCTTTTGCCACTTCTCAGTGTGGTTCCGCAGGACAGCGGCCAAACAAGTTGGTGTTTGCCACAACCCCCAGGCACAAATAACAATCAACAATTGGCACTGATGCTTCTTGTATTTTCCAACAGAAACTTTCAATACCATCAGTGTGCTATGTATGTGGTATGTTTCCTCTTCATAGATCCCCACCATGCATTTATTCATGGTTGTAGTTACGTTTTCTGACTATTTACAGGTGTATCTTATATGGAAGGTTCAGTGAAGAGCTTCACAATATTATGTAGCTGTGCTACAGGGACATGAGAAGATTGACCGGGAGCAGGACCCCAGCCCCACATGTGTCCACGATGTCCTTGTCGGATTGGCATAGTATCTCTGGGCATGTCTTGTGCTGATGTTGTGGCACTTTCCTCAGGAGGTGCCAAAGCTACTTGGTAGCAGTTGTGGGACAATTTTCCAAATCCTCTAGTTCCTGGGGTGCTGGAGACCCATCATGTCCCTCAGCTAGTTAGCAGAAGCAGTAGGTGTTCAATCATTCCAGTGGGCCACAGAATACTGTCCTCACCCTTTGGTTGCATGAATCACTCTCCTGTTCCTACTCAACCTACCTTATATCAGCTGCTCAAGATGAGGTGAATTTTAGCAATGATGAATTCTTGTCCTGAATGCCCTGGTAATTTTACAACATCCCAGCCACATCTGTACTGTCAAGCTAGTGGGCGGCCAGCCCTTTTTCCACAGTGCTATATAAAGGCATTGCTAAAGAGTGACCGCAGTCTGACAGCTTTGACAAGGTCTTCATCGGACATTTGTAGACACTGGCCACCTCTCAAGCCCTGTCTTTGGACATCTCCATCATGGTTGTTGGTCAAATGTGTCTCCAACTCTTTCAATGGCTCTAGATGGTGCACTTTCCAAACAGGTACTGGACTTCTCTAATGTTGTGGTCAGACGGTGTGTACTTTGGGTGTTTTCCCTTAAATCATCCCTCAGCTCCTGCAAGAAGCCCAACAACTGCCAATCCTATGAGTGAAAGTCTTCAGCATTTTTTCACTCCTCGCTTGGTACAACCCATTCACGGTGTCTGAGCACTGTAAGGCCTGTCTATGTTCTTTTTATGGACCTGCACTTCCTCCTAGCTGCATGACTCACCTCTGAAGTGCTGTGTGAACCATCATGTCAGTCCCCTCGACTACCTTGCTAGTGCCTTTCTCTGAGTGCTTTTCTGTGTTGTGTAGGACTTGATGGTGGAGTGATCTTCATCTGTGGTCCTAGGTTGGAAAGGCTTGAGGGAGGAGGTAACAAGAGAGCTTAGAAATGCTTGTTTTAATCAAATTCTTCCTGAGCCAAATTCTATCTGGTTTGAATCAGCTGAATGTGAGACCCTCCCTCTGCCGGCATCTCTTGTGCCATGTTGTGACGCATGGGCAGAGGATGGGTCTCCCTAGTGGTGCTGGGCTCCATTTCTTCTTCCTTGCCTTCCTTCTCCCTTCCACTTCTGCACCTGCTGTTGTGGCTTATATCTGGCCAGGTGCTGGTGGTAGGTGAGATGAAGGAGCTGCAAGTGAACAAAAATGAATTCAGTATCATTCGTGATACGGATAACAGTGGTAATGGCCACCGTAACCATTGAGGGACAAAATCTTTATGCTGCTTTTGATGTTTCTGCTTTTGAACAAAACATTGTCACCTGAGAAACTGAGAATTATCCACTGTAGTATCCTCTTCCAGGACGACCAGTAGCTCCTTATAGATCCGAGGAAGAAGAAACTCTTCAGCCCTGGTGAGCTGCCTCGCCTCGAAGATTCCACCATCAGGTCATCTTTCTCTGCTTCTGATTGTCTGTCATTTTCCCCTGAAAGGGTAAGGAACAGTGCAAACCCTCAACTTGTTTCTGCAAGTCATGAGCCAAAACTCCACTCTTTATCTGTGGGCTGTGTGCCAGCTACATGAAGAATGTCTCTGGTCATCATGTGGTTAAATCATGTTGAAACTCACTGCAAGATGGTACATGCCCCATATTAGCAAAATAATAAATGGTAATACATCAAATAAAAAGACTACTGTACCTTAGCACTCCTTTTAAGATAGCTTTACTTCTTTGGTACCTCTTCTTTGGTGTCCTTTTTGGTGGGGCTGACCGCAATCACCCCTCTGGTTATTTCCTTCCAGGCTTATTGTTGAACATCCCTTTTAACAATACCGCCAGTCACACCAAAATAACGTGGCTCAAGTCCCATAACTCTCTCCGCAAGATCATTTGGGCCTGCTCCATGAAGCAACTCTTTCGGTTCGCAGGCTCTTCTGCAGCTCCTGAGGTTAGCGCCATGGTTTTCCTTTGAAATCAGTGTTAAATATACCCCAGATATGTTCCTGAGCCCCATAATCACCTTGTTGCACTCGCTGGCGGTAATGATGTAGGCAGTTCAGGTACTTCTTTCTGTTTGCCTCCTCTTTTGTCGAACCTTCCAGAGACTATTATTCCCATAGAGGAATGTGGCTGAATTAACATTTCCATGTTTAAAAAAATCACTCTTTCAAATTAAAAACCTTTTAACTCTTCTGTGGTAAATCAACCAGAATTTAGACCCCCAGTGGAAATTAAATACAACATTCTCGAGTTAAAATTAGGTGAAAATGTAGTAAAAGAAAACTTTGCATAAAATTCTAATGAATATATATATACATACATACTATACACGTTAAAACATCCTCATATACTGAATTAATAACTTCCTCAAATATTAACTTTTTGGAAATATTTCTCCATTTGTCAGTAACACCCCCACCCCACGATTTTAACCTGTGCTGATGTAACAATTTGTAACAGTAATTTTTTCCCCACAATAACTTGAAGCTAGCTGAAACATGTACACTGCTGCAAAGGTGGTGTAATAGATGAAGCTACTGGAACCATCTTTCCTAAAATAACTTGCAGAAAAACAAATTGAGACTGCATTTAAGAAGCTGCCAAATGCTGTAAGCTCTGAAATTCTAAGTAAAGTATACATAGGAGTAGTGACTATTTCTTTATATCTTTAGAGATGTGAAATGTTTATTTGGCTCTTATGACACATGGGACCTACCTATACACACAAGATCCATAAAACCATACATTCCATAGCAGATCTGGAATAAGATATCTCTTCTCTGCCACATTGCAGCAGGACTGAAGGCTGACCAGAAAAGCCACGTCACACTCGCTATCAGAAAGAGGCAACCAAGGATCACAGCGATTATTTGTACCTTCTCAACCAATGTCACTGTGATAGGTTCCCACTGAGGAGAAAACAAAAATAAGCACAGACATTTATTAAGGCAGTAATTAGAAGCTTACATCTTTACTTCATACAGAAAGGCTTTCTTCCTCAAAAATTAAGATATATCTTTACGATTGCTGTGACATGTGTATGTACATTACATAGTTCCATGGTATGGCAAGCTGTTTCCATCCCTTACAAGTATCGAAGGGTTATGGCCATGGAAAATAATTTGAAAGAGGAAACAATTCTATTTCTTAATTATTGAAATACTGAATCAAGTATAATGTACACATTGAGGGCCATTCTCTTCCCATTCTGTCAATGGGAGAAGCGGAGTGGAGAAAATACCCAAATTGATATTGTGTTAACTTTATAGATTGCATCTCATGTGTAGCATGAAAGCCAATATGAATTACATTGATTCACAAGGCTCCACAATTTAGGATTACTGGCCCTAACATGCTTCCATATTGTAAGTAACTAATGTGACTATTTGGTTTCCCCATGAATCACACCAGTAAAGGAAATTAAATTACAGAAACTCACAATGAAATCCCTATTCCACAAAATGCTTTAAATCCTGTTTTTGGAGACTTATTGCTTATGTAGCTATCAAATTACTGTGTAACCTTCTAAGGTTTAATAGTAGCATCACCAATAAAGTGTGATGGGATGAACAGAACAAATCCACTCAGTCATGATGGGAATCATATAACTGCTTAATAGTCACACACTGGATTAGTTTGCATGTCCCACTACTCTCGAGTTGGCTCTTTCATTCATAATGCACATTCATTCTAAGGTAGAACGTCTCTGTGGCAAAGACCAAAACTAGAATAAGAATCCCTTAACAATAAAAGATCACAGTGAAGGAGCAAAAACAATAAGCCATTAATGAACAGAGTAATGCCTCTAAACATCAATCAGGAGTTTGTTTCACATCTGATAGTTTCAAACATAATTATAATAATCCTTGCATTTGATATAGCGGCTTATCTTTGAAATGTCTCAAAGTGCTTGACAGAATATACTGTAAAGTGAATTGACTGTATATTTTGTGGGTGAAATGTAGCAGCCAATTGCACACAGCAGTGTCCCACAAAGAGTCATAGATTGAGTGACCAATGTATTATTTTTTTTTGAGGAATTTTTTTAATGGTGCAATTGGAAGCACGAAGTCTGTTGTATTAATATGTATAGGGATCTGCAAATGTGTGGTAACAGACACAACCAGGATCATTGCAGTGGTTGGAAATCGGAGCCAAAAAATGTTAGAGCCTCAGAATAATTTTAGTGCTTTTCACAATGTTTGTTGCACAATCAAACCTGGCTCTCTGCTCTTGGGTCATCACTTTTTCCTTAAACACAAAACGGTTTGCCAGATTATCTTTTCAATGAGATCAGCAAATTGCTGACACTATTTTGGCAGAACCTCTTTACAGACATTTTTGTATTTGATTCATAGTTCACCCAAAAAAATACACACAGCCGCAACACTCTGCAGCACATCCTGTGAAGTGCTTTGAGACATGATATGAAGCTATATCAAAATCAAGGATTATTGTTATTATTAGTAAATCTTCAAAGTTTGCGCATATTTGTTCTCCTTCAGAAGATCAAGAAATATACACAGAATACTATGTGTGAAAACATACTTCTGGTCTATGAATGATATTTCACAGCAATGGATGTCATAAAGTTCTGGGTTCCATGTCCACCATCTCAAAAATATTGTGTGGCTTATGGCATAAGTTTTCTAGTTCTCTTCACCATACATATGAGCTGGATCCACTGGTTTGCATACGTACAACTTTCGGAAGAATGCATTTCCCTTAACAACAACAACGGCAACAACAACTTGGATTTATATAGCCGGATGGTATCTCAGAGCGCTTCACAGTAACGGATCCCGGGGTCAAGCCAGGGGGAGGGGGAGGAACGTGACCAAAGGCCGGACGAAAAGAAAGGTCTTCAGTAGAGACCTGAAAATAGGAAGGGGGCGAGGCCACCCAGCATTCAGAAAGAACCTATCTATTTGGGGATCCAACAAAGCAATTATGCCATGTTTGGTGTCATGGACATAGTGACCTTTCCTATCCAGAGTAGGTCCTGGTGCTTGTTCAACCTCCTCATTTTCCATCTCTGAAATGTCACTCGTACATAGGCCAAAGTGGAGAAGCAAATCCAGGATTGTTCCCTACCCACCAGGTGAGAAATTGTAAACTGAGGAATAAGTTGCTGTACCACTACAATGTTGCTACACATTACAGAGGCTTTGCAATGACCAATCTAATCTCTCTGGGACTGAGGTTATCTATAAAGGCTTCTGAGAGTTGCTGACCATATTAGGAAAAGGACAGCAACATCAATGGCACTCTGTGTGACTTTCTTCCTTAATTGACAAGAGTGAAAAATAATCTGAGGAAAGTATGGTGTGTGACTAAGTCACTAATTCCATTGCTGATGAAGACTGAGGTGCTGCTGATAGTGTTTGCACTTGGTTTACTAGGATTAGTGCTGAAAGTGCAGTTATAAAGTGTTCAGCAATGATGAAATAGAAGCAACTACAATCCCAGTAAGCAGGCTTAGACTCCTGTGACTTCAATTTCTTGAAACTGATTTTCAGTACCACTGAACTGCTTCTCCGAATAAAACCCCCTCTCATTCCCTATGGGGTTGATAGATACTTAAAACATTGCATGAAATTCAGCTACTGCAAGCTGTCTTTTTTATGTATTTGAGGACTCTTCCCTCATTAGCTTGCAACTGACACATTCAGCACCATAAACAAACAGCTGACTTGATGTGTCTGTCTGGAATATGTAGGCCAAAATCAACCACTTGTTAGTTGAGGATTGGGCAGAAATGTCACTTTGATTTAACTTTTGCCAGTTATATTATCTATCTCACGTTAAAGTGGGTGAAAGCAGTATTGTGCTCTGTCTTCAAGTCAACTGTATTAAGGGGTAGGTCCATTCTAATTGAGACTGAACCCGGCTGTTCAGTTAACTTCAGTCATTTCAATTTAGTTTAAAAATTGTTGCTCAAGCTCACAAGCTCCACACTTCCAACTGGTGAAACCATCATTCAATAGAAGGGATGTTTATCTGAGCTGTAGGTAGTAAGATGGTGGCAATGCTCTCCTGCTCTCATTTCACGTTGAGATGTTTTGCCCAACAGGAAGCTTGCAGGGAGTGAGGGCTTAAACCCTGGTGTGGAGGATGTCAAATGACCAACTAGTGGCTATTATCCTGGTGTGTGTGGTGGGAGCGGGGAGATAAGATGAACAGGCTCCAAGGTGACATGCTTGGCTACGGAATATCAGAACTGTAGGGAGTTCCAGAGGTTAGGGTATAGTGACTGAATGCACTGAAGGCATTGATACCTATAGTAGCACAGAGGTTTTTTAGGATGCACAGCAAACCTGTGTTCACTGAGCAAATATTATGAGGGAACAGTCCTCAAATACATGATAACCAAGACATAGCTGAATTTCAAGCCCCTGTTTCAAGCATCTTTTAATACCATAGGGAAGGGGGCTTTGGAGAAGCAATTCAATGGTTCTAAAGATCAGTTCCAAGAAATTGAAGCCGCAGGAGCCTAAGCTTACACACTTGTAGTTGCCTTTATTTCATCAGTGCTGGTAATCCTGACCTACTTTATAACTGCACTTTCAGCACTGACACTGGCAAACCAAGTGCAAGCATTACCAGCAACATCTCAGTATTCATCAGTGGAGTGGCATACAAGCAGGTCAGAGAGGGAGGGAGGTGCTGCGGCATGAAGGGAAATGTAAGTGTGGGTAAGGATCTTGAAATTGATCCTTTCGGAGATGGGGAGCAGGTAAAGCCTGGGGAAGATTGTGCTGATTGGAGTGCGGATCTTGGTATGGGTGAGAATGTGAACTGGGGTATTATATGAGTTGGACCTTGTGGATGGTGGAACTAGGGAGACCTGTGAGGAATGCTTTGTATCGGTGAGCAATTTATAGTATCAATGCCAGAAAGCATTTGTGACAAGGAAAAGTTAAATTAAGTCAGGGCAAAAACAATACATGAATTTTGTTTTTCAAAATATATGTGAATAAAATCCAATACAAATGTATATTAAGAGATCACCTTTCATGTCAGGAGGACATCCCAATGCGCGTATGGTGCATAATAAAAAAAAAGCTTGGATCGGGTTTTATTCACAAGCTCTAACATTTAACAGAAACAAAAATACCAATATAAACAAACACAGAGCTTGTGTGAACCAAAATATACCAAGTGTTAAAGTAAAGCAATCCAGGATAATTTAAATAATTTTAGAAGGTTCACCGTTAATAGAAATGTAAAGCAGCACATGTCTGAGGTGCATAAGATGTCAGAATCTACAATTCTGTGAAATGTTACACATTTTGTGGCAGTAGTTACTTATCGGTGTGTTAAGATCTTTGTGATGAGTGCTTAATAGAGCTATAATCTGTAGGATTATTCTCTATGGAGTTGTTTTCAGGAATAGAGTTCCAAATCAATCAAAGCTCCTTGATGCACTTCTTGTAGATTTCCGGCATCTAATAAATTTATATTCAGCACTTTAAATTTCTTTACAATAATATGCCAACACCTTAAATGGGTTTCAGTTGGTGTTGGAATATTTTATTCAGAAATAACCTTGGGATTGTTTCATGAGTATTTTAAACAGACTTGGAAAACTTTTGTTCCTGTTTATACTCAATGCTATTTTCCTATTTCATTTTTACAATGACTGCAAATAAGTTCCTGAGAATTTTGCGTTGATTTGTTTATTGATAAGCAGAGTTAATGTATATTATGCCTCAAAGTGTTTGAGGTTTGCTTTCAAGATCAATCACTTGCGGTTCTGGGATATCTCCCTGTTGAATACCGGTAATATAGGATGTATTGTGAGAAAACCAAAACAAGGAGAGCAGGAAAATAAACCAACATGTAAAACAAATCACACTCAGGAAATAAATACTTAATAAAAAGATCAACAAATACTGTACTTAATAGAGGACTAAATTCCAACAACAACAACTTGTATTTATACAGCACTCTTCACGTGGGTAGCGTCTCAGAGCATGTCTAAGGGGAGGTGGCTGAAGGTACAGTCAAAAAGAAAACCCTTCAGGTGTAATTTTAAGATGGGCAAAGAGGGGGCAAGACTGAGGGGATTGAGGCAGGGAGTTCCAGAGATTCGGGACATAATGGCTGGAATTCCAATTAAATGTGAATTTCACATAACTGTATGAAACAAAAAACATTCATGTTGAGATTAGCTTCCAACCGTGTTGTCAACATGGTCAATTAAGTGGATGGTTTATTCGATGCTGATGAATTGAATACCATGTCATGGGGTTTGCAACAGTGGCTGGCACAGGAGTTACCCTGATGGATCAAATGGTCTTCTCATGTTTCATGCCTTCTTATGTTTTTATGTTATAAACCATAAGGATATAAAATGCAGAATTCCTTAATAAAAACTCCCATTAGAAAATATCCCCAATTCATAATAATAACACTCCAGAAATAATGCCGTTTGGTGTGAAGTTCTCATGGGTGAACGTGATGTACTTTGAATTACCGGAAGGATTTTATAATTACTTAAGGCCCTAAATAATAGCCCAAAACAGCCTGATTTGCAGAACAAGAAAATATTGGATAAATGTAATGGAGAATATTCAGTGGATAGACATTACTTCTTGCCACATGCACTCTTCACTGTGTATATATTCCAGATTTATTATACCCTTGGATTGAAACTCGAGATATTTTTATTCATTGAGCCATGACTTGTGAGAAGGATACATTTCATTGTCATTGGACAACAAGTGTCAGTTAATGAAACGAGCGAACAACACAGCAGCAGGAAGAAGATTGTTCAGCCGTGGATCAGAAAGTTTTGCTGTTTTGCACGATAAATGCAAGTTGAAGGGTATAATAAAACAAATGTTCCTTGCAGCCTTTTGCTGCAATCACCAATAAGTTAAGTAACAGAAGATAAAATATTATCACAAACAGATCATTTTCACTCATGTTATGCTTCCCAAATGATTCATCTTCTAACTTCTTCCACTATATAATTGTAATGATATCCTCGATCAGTCAGGACACATGGTTATTGGCAAAAAGATCTGTCAATCCTAACTCATTGGCTTATGTCTGAATCTACTCAATATAAAAGGAGCTCAGCCTCAAAATTATTTGCATTATGCTACTAATTACCCACCGACACCACCTTAGTGATAAGAAATTCAGGCTGCTTCCTTTCTATTTTAACCTGGACAAGAATGGGAAAAACCTGCAAATACTTTGATTGCTGGGACGTTGAATGATTCTATATTTTGAGACTTGAATGGGCACTAGTAATATACCCACTGGTGAACTCATTTACTGGGCTATGGAGTAGCATCTCACAGCTTTAAAACTGATAAATCTCTAATCCCCCCCAATTGCTAAATTGCCGACCGCAGTCCAATGTAGGTGAAGTCAAGGAAAGGACTTGAAGAGTGTGAGGTGGATATAGGGAGAAATAACAAGAGGGGCCAAAGGAAGAGGGGAAGAGGGTGGTCAGGAATAATGACTGAGGGAAGAAAGCAGCATTGGCTAAACATAGCAGAGAATTAATAATAATAATAATCCTTGCATTTGATATGATGCTTTTCACGTTCTCTAGACATTTCAAAGCGCTTCACAGAATAGACTGTAAAGTAAAATTGTCTGTATATTTGTGGGCGAAATTCAGCAGCCAATTGCGCACAGCAGTGTCCCACAAACAGTCGTGGATTGAAATGACCAGTTTATTATTGTTTTTTTGAGAGATTATTATCATGCGTGTGAAGTAACGAAACGTGCCCAAGGTTTCACTTGGGTAATTGGTGTGAAGATTAAGTTCAAGAGAGCAAAAGAAGGGGTAGGGGGCAGCACTGTGGCTAATCAATACAGTTCTGAAACAAATGAGATGATGAATAGTTTGTGGAAAGGAGAAAAATGTATCTATGTTACTCTGTTTATAGACTGCATCAGGGGGTCTGAAATGGAAACACTTTGGAAGGCTTTGTGGATCTATGGGCAAATATTTACTGTTCATTGAAGAAACTTTAAAACAGCTTATCAATAACAGCTAATCAATATAAACTCTTGTCTAATATTGGGAGTTACTATACTTTTGCATAAAAGCCTTGCTTTATTCAATACCTCAGCCTATATTGTATTCATTATTCTAAAATTTACCAGGTACCTGACATGGTCTTTTCATTCTTATTGCGACTACGTGGTATCTGTAACAGCAAATCTCACAGCTCCATGACCCTCTTTCGCTAATCCACTTCAAAAGGCATGGTTGATGGGAGTAACGCACAGAGCCATCACAGCGACAAGGACTCAACAATTCACCCTTAAGGAAGCACAGAGAGAGAACAAACATATTTAGGATTCAGCAAGCTGTAATACAGTTCCTGACAATTAATGCAAATTATCATGGAGTTGGTTTACTTCTATAAGATTGATGTCCCTTACTAACACTAACAGATCAAATCTGATCTACACAGTGGTTTTACTCTCAGGCGTGAAATGCACTCAACAGGCTTCAAAGTATATTTTCTTATTACATGCAAAAAAATATAGCAATAGTTTCAGGCAGGAGCAACTTTAACCCACCCATCCAACTCCCAAAGGTTCTTTCAACACAGTTATTACATAAACAAATAACACTGATTCCTTTTAATTTCCAAGAACCTGTTTAGTTCCTTGCTTCACCTTGTCCACAGTCATAATGGTTATTATCTCCTCTCATCTGAGCTGCTCAAGGGATAAAAAATGACCATTAACTTCTTATTGGCTTGACAAATTCAAACTCCCAACTGAGGATTCAATGGATGCAGAGTATGGGGAGAGGGGAAGGAAACTAAATTATGAAAGACAAATGTATAATAATAATCTTTGCATTTGATACAGCACCTTATCCCATCGTTGAGATGTCTCAAAGCGCTTCAAAGGATATACTGTGAAGTATAATAAACTGTGTATTTTGTGGGTGATGTACTGTACACATTAAATTCTACTATCACGGGTTGCTACTCTTTTATTCCACAAACCCAGACATCCAGATGTTCTATCAATCTGGTGAAGATATTTGAAAGAACATTTGCACAATTGCAAAAACCACTTCACCTTCTTTTTTTAAAAAAAATCATGATTTAAATAACTTTGCTGGGGTTTAATGAAATGAAAGTGAACACTACAAATTCTTCAGAATTGTTCCCATGCTCATTTCATGCCTGGGATTTCCATTCCGTTGCCTCAATTAGCTGCGTAGCACTATCATCCTGAGGGCAATTAATTTGATGACATTCTTGTGGCTACTAATAAAAATCGCTATGTGCTTTGTTTGTTTATCTGGTACAGAATTCTGTGAGCTTCACAGCCTTCATTTCTCTCACTTGGGATTAGTCATTTTAGAAATTTGATAGGTTTTAAGCACTGGATATTTGAGAATATTTCTCCAAGATTTGTTCTGCAAGCTTGCTTTTTTTTAAAATCGGGTGCATTTAATTGAACTTTTTATTTTCCTAAGAAAGTAGTACTCGTGAGGGCCCTACATATTTGGTAGCTGTGGGAAATACTTTGTTTTATGTTAGAATCGTGAAACATTTACAACACAGGAGCCAATTTGACTGGCCCACACATCTGTATTGGTGGACTCACCTCTACTGGAGATATCTACACTAATCCCACTCCCCTGATCTTTTCCCTTTACCCATCACTATTATTTTTCTTTAAAGTAATGTATTTAATCAATTCCCTTTAAAACAATGTTATGAGCTCAACTTCAACAGTCATTTGTGGTAACGTATTCCTCTCTAATACCTTCTGTGTAAATAAAAATCTGTTAAGCATTTAAATCTCCCCTCCAAAAAAATTCTTCCAGTTATCTAGTGGGTTAGGGTTAGAAGGGTTAGAAATCCACTGTCAGTAATTAAAAACAAGTCCTGTCTGATTAAGATCCCAAGGCACTATTTGACAAAAGAAAGGAGTTTCCACCAATGTCCTGGCCAACAGTCCCCCAAATGGTCACTCACTTCATGGTTGTTTATAGGACATTGCTGTAGGTAAACATGATGTTGTCTGTCCAGTGCCTTGGGACGTCCTCCGGATGTGAAAGGCGCTATAAAAATGTAATTTTGTTGTTGTGTTTGTTTACAGAGTCATTATACTTTGCAGTAAAATTCTGTAAACGCTTTGAGATATCTTGACGAGTTAACACAGTGCTATCTCAAATGTAAGGATTTTCATTATTATATAATTATTATTATCTCCAGACTCTTAATCCAAAGCTGTCGTTGGGTAAGACAATCCTTGACTTTAGATCTTCTAATTCCTCCAGTTGTGAATAACACTGTTTACAACTGACACCGTAATTGATGTGGGCAGTTGAAAAATACGATTTTTGTCTAACATCTATTTTTTTTATGAGGTTACAAATCTTAGGGATTCTAGATGATTATTTGAATGCTGTAAGACATCTTCATTTATAAGAAACAGTAACAAGATTTCCTTCTGCAGGCATTGAGTGTTGGACAATAATAATACAAAAATAAATGCAGAAACCTGCTCTTGGGAAAAATAAATGTTGAAATAAAGATGGTTTACAAGTCTGGAGATGGCAGTGACGAGAAGGAGAATTAGGCGTCAGACTGGCTCAGTTGATCGTACCCACACCTCTGAGCAAGAAGGTTATGGGTTCAAACCTGATGCTGGGACTTTGAGATCACAGTCAAGGCTGACACTTCAATGCACTACTGGGGAAGTGTTGCATTATCACAGATACTGTCTTTTGGGTGAGATGCTAATCTGGACAAGATACCCGGCACTATTTGGAAAGAGAAGGGAGTTTCTCCCAGTGTCCTGTCCAACAACCTCCAGATTGTCCAAAAATGAGTCATTCTCTTCATGCCTTTTTGTGCGGCATTGCTGTCTGGACATTGGCTGCCAGGCTCACCTACAAATGCATAGTTACTCCACTTTACGGAATAATTTGAAAAATTTAATTGTTATCTGAAATAGATTGCTGTCTAAAAGTTCTTTAAGACATTTACAATATTATTGAGGTTAGATCAAATACAAGAATTAGTTATTTTAACGTTTTAGTTTTTCAGATTCATTGGCAAACACTGATTTTGGTAGCGCATTTCAAACATCTGTGTGAAAAAGAATTCTGTAAACCCAATCTTTTTCTTTATATTTCTGGCAATGATTTTAAATTAATGCCATCTTGTTGCCTCCAGATTGACCAGCGGGCTCTTGCTATAGATTCATAAAAAAAATTACAGAATGTAAAATTACAATCAGATTTCATGGAAAATTGTGCAATTCAGACAGAAAGAAAATGTCAATTATAATTCTCTATAACATTTTGACTTTTAACAGGAACTTTCTCTTGAAGCTAAATAAAATATTACCAACTTTCAATCATCGTGATTTAGGATTGACTGCCTATATTTAAGGACATTCTGCAATGAGCTTTATTGATCAATTATCCTATTTTACTACCTTGTGGTCAGTCACAAATATACTTATGCATCCATCTGATCTTTCAGTTACAGCTTACAATTTCAGACAAAATGGGGTGAAATAGGCAGGGTTTCTTAGCCCATTGCTTGGGTTAATTAACACAAGAGATTCGTTAAGAAACGCTTCTTAATTAGTAATGATGTAAAGTAGCCTCACTGTTCTCTGGGAAGAGTGACCTTCTCCTAGTCTCTGAGCAGTCACTCCTCCAGATTAGCTGCCAGGAGTTCACAGCTGTATTGAGGAATGGGTGAAGGAGTGGCTGATTGGAGATTGGGAGCGGAGTGTTCTTTACTGAGGTAAGTAAAGGAAACCATTTATGCTGACGCTAATTGAGAAACAAATTTGAGAGTGTTCTTAATGTGTTTCTTGTGCGAGTTAAGAGAGGGAACAGTTTAAGGAACACCGCAAATTTCACTCCAATATCTCCTGAGAGAGGTTCTTCGTGGGATGCTTCATTGTGTTGATTGGATGTGCTGTAACATTTTATGTATGCCTATGTAGCGCTGCATTTGTATTCAAAGTTAAGTGCAGTACTTATTATTTCAATATTTTTTATAATTGTATAACCACACCAGTAAATTAACAATTATTCTACTATGCAGGACAAGTACATTTATTTTCCATACAATCAACTAAGAGACACAACTTGAAAAGGTAACTTATATTGAAAGTATAGTATGTTGCTTCACTTCCTCTCTCCAGTTTCACAAAGTTATTTTGTTCTTCCTTACTGAGAGAGGCAATCCACTTCCACGCTTCTACTGTGCTTGGGAGAGTCTGCTTGGAGGGTTATGAGAGCAGTCTGGGTCACTTTAACTCCACTCTCTCTTTGTAAAAAGCATCCTCTTTGCTGGGTCTGGATCTACCCATGTGCGCAAACAAGCTTGGTGCTTGTGTAAAGTCTTTAGATTGATGAAAGCAGTGAGTGAAACTAATTAAGACTGTAGAGTCACTCATCTAATACAGAAGTATAGTAAATTCCTTTTAAAGATCATGTTATATAGACTCACTCACAACTCTGACAGGGTTGCTGCTTATACAACATGGCAAGGGTTAATGTAAAGCCCTGGTATTACATGAAAATCCGGATGAAGACAATCAATGCAGCTTGCCACAATTTATTCTGTACACATAAATGGATTTCCTTGGAAATTACAAAATCAATACTGGACGGTCTTGATATATAATTTACCTGGACTGACTCGCAGTGGGTGTTAATTATTGAGAACTTAGGCATTTTACCATCTTAAAAATGGCTTAAGATGCAGTCCACATTGTGTGGAAGAAAGTCTCTTCTGTCTAGAAGCATCCTAAGTGACATGAAATCTGTGTGGGAAATCTTAACCACTTCCTATTAGATAGAAATATGTAAGAAAACCAAATTGCTCATAATTCAGCAGCAATTGACAATCTAAAAGAGACCATAAGGATAAACAATACAAAAGGTCACACTGCAATGCGTATTGCACTAAAATGGGGAAGGAAAATCTAGGGGAAGCACTTTGATTTTAAAGTACTCCCCTAGATTGAAAAAAAGAAAATATATTTGATATGCAGTGAGTAATTCTTGTTTTCCTCCTTTCCCCAGGATCTGCCAGGCAGTTTAGTTTATACGTGTTCTGTGGAGGAAACAGACGTGTCCATTTTGCTTAATAGGCAAATGCTTTGGACTTGTCTCAGAGCCAATACTGAGCTCTAACCCTAGGGATGCACAGTAATTTAAAGTATGCAACAGTATCCAGTCAAATCCATGGTTTCCTGGGATCATGGGCTCTGAATTGGCCATGAATCAGGACTTTCACAAAAAAGGGTAGGAAGGCAGGTAGGATTGCACAATAATGTGACAGCTGATTTAGTAATCAGGAAACAATGGAGTATGGAGGCTTTCTTTCCTGTTTCATTTAATCCTGTCACTCCAATGGAAGATTAAAGGAATAGAAGCAGCATTTAGACCAGGCAAGGCAACAGAGAATTCTCTCAGATCATTGCAGTCAGCTGATTTGTGGAGTCAAACAAATCTGAGTTAGGATTGGATGTGATTTTGTTGGAGGATATTTTGGAACATGTCAGTATGAGACAGCAATCAAAAGAGTTAGAGAGCAGTTAGACTGCTATGCAGTCTCAGAGCAGTCTAAGAGTGAAGGTGAAGAAAAGATTTAGGAGATTCACTGAATTATCAGGTCAATCAAGGATGTGGATAC